TTTCTACTAACATGCATGCTCTACATAAAGCCAGACTAAGACACTTTGCACTAAAGCTGGAATAAAGTAACACAAAGGTGGCAAAGTCAGTAACTGGCATTTTAGTTAATCTTGCCCAACACAGCCTGAGAGACAGGATTTACTTGAATTTTAAAGGTTTACATCTGGGCAAGTTATCCTGAACTGTCTTCATAACTGGAGGAGACACAGACAGTTTTCAAATGAGACAAAACTACACCTAAAGAAGCAAAGCTAAACTCTCTTTGCAACATCCTACAGCAAGAGCTTCTATAGCTTAGCTACATGATGTTCTCACCTAGCGAGGACATTTTCTTAAAGCCAAGATAAATCTCATTGTAAACAATGTCTTTCTTTCCATTGACTACAAAGGAATTGTGGTTGACTAGCTCAGAAGAATTTAACTCTGGAAACCTATTGAAGACAGCAAGGGCATCCATTTACTATCTTGGAAGAAACTACTTCATATATCTTCAGTCATGGCTCAGTTATGTATCTTAGAAAACAAACCACAAAAGCTTGCCTATGTCTTCAACAAAGCACGCAATGGATGACAAATGAACGTTATGCAAGCAATTGTGTGTTCCTTTCCTTTCCTAACATTTAAGTCTTGGGCACGCCACGATAATGTTCTTGTATCGTATCTATAAGTCCATTGCAAAACCACTGATTCCTCTTACACTAAAGGAGAAAATTATTACTGTGGATGGAGCAAACAATCACAGAGAAGGGGACGTGCTTACACAACATTTCACTGGATCGCAGAGGAATATCAGGAATTGTGAATCTCAAGGTCACCCTCAAAGAGAAGAAAAGCTTAGTGGTACCAAACAGTAACAGCAAGAACAAAGATTAGAACTACTTTTTCTGAAGGCTGTGCAACTAAGCAGGTGACATTTCTGTTTGCCATGCTGGAGGCTTGCTAACAGATCTTCCTCTGTCCACAGAACAGACAAGAAGCAACAAAAAGCCAAGATTATGGATTTTTAAATTCTGGATCAGGTTGTTACTGTATACAACCTAAAACTAAGCACAATCAACCTTTAACCTTCAGGCAAAGGTATCATTCATAAGGAAGTGCGACAGCAGACTCCATTGGCCTCATGCATTTCTTTCCATCTAGGATGGAAGGGATCCAACCCTTTTATGAGGTTTATTCCAAAGCTTTGAATACGGTATGAATATGGTAAACTTCAGGCATTATCCTATAAATCAACAGCCAAATCAAAATGAAAGTCCCAAATGATAAAAGCTAGAGTGTTAGCAACAAAGCTTAAGAGAAGCATAATAAACTGCACAGGCTGATCTGCCCATAGGCATAGGAGAAAACAACATCTATAAGACTTATGAGCAAGAAATTCATTGTACTTTAATAATCACCACGTTTGCAGATCTGTAAGACACAGTTACATACCTTTGGTTATGTTGGCTCCAAGGTGTTTTTAAAATCTCATTCCAATTTACAGAGTATCTATGAATTTCCAGCTCATTTTCACTTCCAATTACTACTACTCAATTGTGTTCTTGCCTGATCAATAACTTATATAAAACATACAGTGGTGTATTTGCTAAAAATTCCCTGAAAAACTGCATTCCCTGAATCAATTCTAAACAGCTTCAGACCTGAGATCAGAAAGGGATGGGGCAGTAGGGGAGTAGAACCTAACAGTGTTTAGGGACACTTGGTGGGTGGAGGGTGGCATTCTTTTAGTTTTTACTTTTTGTACAGCCAACTGAAGCAGCCAACATTTATTTAGAGATAGTTTATGAAAATTGCAGAAATTGTAATGGAAAAACAATTTAATCTTAGCTCCAGTTACTGAAATGCTCAATATACATTCAAAAAAAAAAAAAAAAAAAAAGAACAATAAGACTTCATAAAAGTCATTATGAAATACTTTGGAGAAACATTTAGGAAAAATACTGCACATGCATTTAGTAGGAATCCCCAGTGGTTGTCTCATTTACCTCATTACACACATGCACGCACACACACTGAGTGTTAATTGCACTCCAAAAGAAATCTGCAGGCACAGACTGCAAGAAATGATATGGGTCCTTCCCCTCATTCCCTCCCCCTGATGAACGCCTACTTTTCTTCTAAAAATTCCCCACAGAAGAAGAGAGTGCTAATTGTAGCTATCACAAAGTGTTTTTCCATCACCACAGAAATTTAATTCCTAAATTTGAGTTGATGCACACGCAGAGGCAGGGACTGAGTTGAGGTAGGAGTGATGACGGATCGCTGCAATTCATTCTAGAGGGGAAAATTTAAATACACATCAAGCGCATAATCCCACAATTGGCAGATCCACTTCAAAATCTTGAAATGCTTATTTTCAGCCTCTTAAAGCTAACTGATGCAAGTCCTTCCTGTGAGAACATCGTGTAGCCCAGGCACTTGTTTCGTATACCACAGAGCTAGCACAAAATATGTTGCTGTATCCGTTAATGGTACAGCATCATTCTGCAGTATCAAAAGGGTGAAAGAAAAGTGTAAGAGCAATCAGGTCCTTGAATAACTTCTCACTGCACTGGCTTTAAAAAAAAAAACAAAAAACTGTGAAACTCTCAGAGGACAGAGATGTTAATTCAGAAGAAATTGGACAAAGAGTGATGAACCCAGAGAGAGTGTGTTTGTTCTCCATGAGAGCTGAAAGAAACTAGTTTTAGCTGATCACCACAAAATAAATCTCCCATTCCCAGCTCATCTCACTGAGGAGCAGACACCAGGCCCCAGGAATGAGCCCAGCACAAACACACAAGCACTGACACTGATCTTATGCTACAGGACTGCACCCATTGTGACAATACCAAAATAAGAGCCTGCCCACTGGAAGGGACATATCCAAACTTCTTCGCCAGCTGCGAACCACAAGGAGACAAACAGTTATTGCTTGAATTCCTGTAGGAGGGAGAAAGGCAGTTTGTACTAATGGAAATGCCACTTTTCTCACTGTACTTCCCTACAAGCAGGACCATGGGAATCAATGCTCTGCAGGCCTGCATAGCATCAACAAGCAGCCACCGAGTGTAAATGCAAGATCCAGCTTTGTGCTTCCATCCGACTGCATCGCAGCCACTCACAGCACCTCAGCAGCAGCAAGCTGTAGGGGGAGCACAGGAGGAAATGCTGGTGCTGCACAGCAGTGCTGATGCAGGTTAACAGGAGGAAGCATTCTGCCAGCAGAAGCGTGTGCTCACATTTGGCTTCAAGCATCTTTATTCTAGAAAAACGGTTCTCTGCTTTCACCACCTCTCCTTAAACACTACTCTAAAATGAAAGGGGAACAGTACTTCTTCCAACCTCAGCAGAAATCTAGGTTGCTTAATAATGTTTTTTTTTAAAGGGCAAACTGTGAAGAAACCATCCTGCAAATTATGAGAATTGTGGCACAGCAAGGAAGGAGGGGTTTCTAATGACCTCCAGCAAACAATACATATGCATCTTCTGACTGAAAAATGTGTCGTGCTGCTAAATGAACATTCTTCTGCAAGCATAATTTGACGGGAATCCCTCTCTGATAGGGATTCCATGCAGCCAAGGTGACAAAAAGAAAGGAGACAAGACGACACATCTGTAGTTACAAGGAGGACATGTTGAGCCACGTAAACCACCACAAAGCAAAGACAGCCTTGAATCTAGAAAAAAATACTGCTTGGTTCTCTGTAAAGGTAATCCCCCAGTGTAAAAGAACCTGCAAAACAGCAGTTGATCTGGGCATCAGAACTGTAAAACAAATCCGTTATGTAAAATTAACTTAAAATAAAAAGAGGGAAGAAAGTAAGGCAATGTAAAATTTATGTATAACATTATATATACAGTCACAGCTGTGGCAGTGCTCGCAATCGTATCTATTTATACCAATTAATTGCTTCATCTCAGCCTAAAGCCTCTGCTGTGTGTTGGAGAAAACCACCTCAGGTTCACAGAGGAAAAGCTTCAGAGCTGCTACAGAGCACTTTACCCCAACAATTTCTGAGGATTACCCCTCATACCCAGAGGTAAAAACTGTGAACTAACATTTACACATAATCTACTGATTCTTTTACAAATGTCTGCTTCATACTGGCTAGTAAAACTCCTTTAAAAAGGAAACAAAGCCCTTGCCACTTTTGAACAGGTGAACCTTCTGTTATTGTAACTACTCACAGGACAAAATGAATGTCAGAGAAAGGAATTAGTTTTGTGTTAAGAGTTTTCATGCAATTTTATGGCATTCAGATTCCACAGAGCTGCTCAACCACAGCTGAGAAATGCTAGAAGTCATTACCAGAACATACCAACACCACTGCTTTTACAGTCAGAGACTTTTTTGCAAAGGTGAAGGATATCAGCAAACTCCTTGGTTTCATAAGGAGAACGTACAGATAGTTTAGTTCTCAAAACTCTTCTAAGCTAAACTCAAACTTTGGATTTGACATTAACAAATCAATAACAGACTTAAAAGAGCCTTGTCTGGGACTTTTATGTGAGAGCCACTTATTGTAACAGAAGACTAGTTTAGCAGCTTGAAGATAACAATCTTTCCCTGAAAGAAGATACTTCCAAGGATTCCCTGTTTACAAACAAGGAGTTTTCAAAAGAGAACATCTCAAATACACACCAGAGGAAAAAATATGATTATACAATTGGCTGGTTGAGGATCTTCGCTTACTTAAAGCACTTAAAAGAAAAAGGAGTTCCTTTGAAAATTCATCTCCAAATGTGGGTTGCAGAGTCAGCTTTTTGAAGATTAAACAACTCTATAAAGAAGGAAATAATATGGTAGAGATTAAAGTTCAATTTCTATTTCACTTGTTTGACTTTGAGACCTTTCATGCTTTAGCTACATAAAATTTGGCATTAACCTGAAAGCTAGAATCATTTTACTCTATCCAAACTCAGAAGAGCAAGCAATGGTCACTGATGGAGACCACAACACATACAGATAGGTGGATAGATACAGAATTTTTCTTTTGTTCAGACAAGGCATACATACCCTTAAGTCTGGAGAAAAGTTGTCTGCTGAGGTGGAGACCGAGTCTGATGATACAAGAGAAGCAGATTTTGTATGAGCAGAATGGTCCGACTGAGAAGTGGAAGCACTGAAAAGAGAAACACAACAATGGTGCTCAAAATGGTGCTCAAAAGCCTACAAATAAGGCCGCTCACTTGCAGCTGTATCAGGCAAGTTTCCCTGGTTTCCACCCTTTCCATTCTCAGTTATTTAGTCCTCAGCAGTGGTTTCAGAAAACCTGTTCTGCCTTCCTTTACTGCGGATCACAAAAGCACACACAATTCATTACCAGATCACAGCTCAGACCGAGCCAACATTGTCACGAACGCAAACCTGACCAAATCCTAAATCAACGAAATGAAGGGCCTCCATTTCAGGCTTTCAGATGGGAGAAATTAGCGCGCTGCAACTTGATGAAAACAGACAGGATCCTGAATGCACGCCAGCACAACTCCAACCGCAGCTTTACAATGGTGGAATGAATTCAGAATAAAAACCTCTTTCCACCACACGGAACTTTCCGCTTTCAGGTGTAAGCACAGCCCCAGGAGAACGAAGAAGAGCCTCCCAGCATACCTCTCTGGTGATACAAAGTGTGATTTGCTTACAACAAAGCAAAACAGCTATCATTTTTTTGACCCGGTTTTTCTAGGACAGCTGTAAGCAATTAAAATAAGCTTATTTTATGACATTTTCGTGCTGCAAGCTTTTCTAGAATCGTAATTGCTTGAAATTAGCATTTGATAATAATGCTTTTAAAGCCCCATGGGACTGCAAAGAAAGACCTCTGTGGTGCAATGTTCTGCCATGGCACAACAGCAAACGCTACCTGGAGCAGCTCATTCCCACACTCTCAGTGACTCCAGAAAGGTTTCACCTGGGTGATACAACACCCTTAAAGAGCAGCTACCTGACCAAGGCAGAAAACCCACCGGAGCATTATGCTATTAGTTGTATTAATTAGTTATTTGACAACCTTCAAACAGCTTTATCTGAGCTTCCAAAGAGCCTGGAGATCTGTTAATTGTCTGAAAATTGTTTTGCTACTTAACTGCTGCTAAACAGCCACTGATAGGCCAGAATGTTCCAGTTTTATTTCTATTCTTTGAGGTTTGGCAAAGCGTTAGGCAGGCAGTGTTAAAAACATGAGGTACTATGGTAAAGTTGGGCTCTTGCTGGGATTGACTCCTCTCTGTCCAAGGATTAAAGAGCACTGGCAACTTTTTTTAATTCTATGATGCAGAAACTTTGAAACTGAAGTTTTGGGAACAGTAAAAACCATTTAAATAAATGATACCATTGTGCCAACTGAATAGCACGATTCCACTGAATGCCTTTATTGTACACAGTTCACCAGCTAACCGTTCTGCTTCCAGCACACTTAACTCTTCGAGTTTACCACGATGTTACTTTTCAGAGGCACAGACAGAAAATAACCCCATGCTGAAGTAACAAGAACCAACTCAGCAAAGCCACTCAGATACACAGGATGTGCAAATGGTTCCACAACACAACCAAACTGGTAGAACTACACTGCTGCCAAGTGCTGGTCATGCTCCTACTCTCTTCCTCCTCTTCTTGACTGGGGCTGCACTCTGTTGCCATGCATTCCCATTGTGAACATCAGGATGTGCGGTTTGGTTTGTTGATCTGCAGGGGCAGCAAACGATTGCTAAACACAAAGAAAGTCTTCTGCTGGATCACAGGGCTGACTGGATTCATTACATGGCCACATAAAACAGAGGCAGTGCGCTGGAGAAGAAGGGAATCTGTATCTGGAGATGATGAGGAGAGTTGAAAACACTTCTGCGTGCAGCAGCCTGCAGGCATGCTGAATGAGGCTTAGCCCTAAACCACATCGTTACATTGCTTTACTTAAACCAGCTCAGAGCCCTGGATGCATTCCCTCAAAACTCATTTCAGTCTGCTCCCTGTACGTTCAGTCTTTACCTTCCATGCGTTCACCCTGATCTTTGAAACTGTATAACTGACTGAGGTTTAAAGTTGTGTTAAAATCTCCCCCATCTAATCATTCCACAGTGCAGCACCACCTTACTGTGCAGCAGCCCATATGGGGATGGCACTAACAATTTTCAGCTGGGAGCCAGCAGCTCTGCCTCAGTCCCACAAAGTCAGCTCCTGCTGAAGCAACTAAAGCTTCAGCAGAAGTCTCTTGGTGTATTTAAATGCATTTAAGATCAGGGACACAGCTCAGTATTGAGAATTCATTTAGCACAAATGTAAACAGCAAAGCAAGGGATGTACTGACAGCTAATCTAAACTCAAGTGCCTGCACGGAGAAGGCATTTGTTTGCACTGTGCAGAGCAGCGTATTTACTGACCAGCACTAAATCATTGAGCACAAGAACAGTAATTGAAGCATTTGCATCAAGAATTTCATGTCCTTTCATCACAGAAAATGGAGCTGTAAAGGCCTTTTATGAGTAGTGCTAGTCTCTCCCTCTGCCCCCAAGCCAGGATAAACTGTATCCCTGCAGCCTGCTCACCTAACCTGCTCATCACTGCTCCCAGACATGGGAAGCACTAACAAAAAGAGTCAAAATCCATCAGCTGTTCTGCTTGCACAACTTGCCTGCCCTCCTGCATCCCCAGCCTTTACCAAATAAACAAGCAGTGATTATCTAACCATAATAGACCAAAATTTGTTATGAAATTGTTAGTTTATTTTACTGCAGTAGGCTGAGGAGCCAACTGCTTTATGCAGGGGAAAAAAAAACAACAAACAACAGACAACTGTCTAAGTGTTTTGTGTTTGTTGATCATGCCTGGCTTTGAGTGAGTTTCAATGAAGCAAAGCGTTTGCATTTTAGAAGGGAATCTTCAGAGGTTCCCAGCACCACAATCCCTGTGTTCCTGTGGCAGCCACCAACAGCAACATCAGTTCCTGTGACACCGGGGACAGCTTTTGGAGGTGCTGCCTGTACACAAGTGAGCAATAGCACTCAGTATGCACAGGTTCCACTTGTTAGACTGGCTACCTCTGTGCTCACTGGTCACTCACAGGGAGCTGTGATAGAGGAACGTGTAGGGTACTGAACTTCTGCCACTGCCTCACCACCCCGTCCTGCCACACGTAGGCAGCTTGCACAGCTCCAGTTCCACTGCTCAGCCAAGTGATTAACCTGATGTCCCTGCAGGCACAGGAGAAGTTTTTTCGTTTCAGTGGTTTAATAAACAAAGAGCTCTCCCTACTGTCAAAGCAAAAAGAAAGACCTTCAAGCCATGCAGCTTTATGTGTCTATGGGGTGAGGGAAGGAGAGGGTGCTGGGGCTGCTACACAAGGACCAGAGCTCCCTCCATATTTGCCACCTGCTCTTCTGCACCCAGTGCAAATCTTGCTGCCACTGCAGTTTCTCCATATTAACCCAGCTTCCTCCAATGCAAAGTTAGAGCTATCTCCTTTTGGCAGCAGGATGGGGTAGTACTGATGCTAGACTACGGTGCTGAGGACCCCTCTGAGAAATACCCAAACAGCTGACTTTCAGAAGTAAAGCAGTACAGGGCAAACCTGTGTGACAGCACAAGAATGATGGTCAGATGCTGCTGCTGAGTTTGGTTACAAACATTTGAGAATGCAGGTACGTGTGGCCTGATTTCAGCAAGGGTTAGAAATCACTGGAGCTGTGTCCATGACTGCCAGCTTAAAGTCTGGTTTAATGCAACTCAGTAGATAATGAGGATAAGGGGGAACGGTTTTAAACAAACAGTGGGGAGATTTAGGTTAGATGTCGGGGAAATATTTCACTGAGAGGGTGGTGAGGCCCTGGCACAGGCTATCCAGAGATGTATGAGTGCCCCATCCCTAAGGTGCTCAAGGCCAGGCTGGATGGGGACTGGGAAGCCTGAGCTGGTGGGTGGCAACCAGCCCATGTCAGGGGTCAGAACTGGCTGGCATGGTCCTGAACTGGATGATCTTTGAGGTCCCTTCCAACCCAAGCGTTTCTATGACTCATTCTATGATTCATTCTAAATGATTATCATCTCTGAACCTCACTAAGGTTCTAGGAAACAGCATTTATTCAAATTCACAAAATACTTTAAATTCTCCCTCCAGGAAAGAGACAGCACAGGTGCTTCAGAGCTGACCAGTGAACAAAAGGGATCTCCAAGAGCAGTTCTCTTCCCATGCTGCACAGGCAGCTCCACAGCACCCATCCTGATGTCTGTGCTAATTGTCACAACAGACTCTTACAACAGAAAAACTCCACAGAAAAGTATCCTGCCACTGTTGCTGCTATTCTCATTTTTCCTTCTTTACTCCTCAAGCAGAAGCAGAAAACAGGGTTAGGATGCAATTAGCACTGATAAATGTCTTTCAACTTAGTAATTATTGTTTAAATGTACTTTTACGGCCAGATTCTGAATGATAAATGAGTCTAAACGAGATCTGTCAGCACAATTGTCTCACACAGTGTCTGCACACAGCATTAACCCCTTGGCTATATGGAATACATATATGCAACTAATATGAGAATTAAAATGGAAAACAAGCATAATGACTCAATTCTTGATAAAGCCTTCATTGTTATTATTAGGACCAACCCACAACATGCCAGGTGGTTTTCAAGCATAATTCAGACAGATGCCCTCTGGTGATTCTTGTTCAGGCAATGGAAAGGTATTGCAGCCTCCAAAGCAGAACTGAAGGAATGCCAGCATGCCTTGCTTAAACCATCAACAAAGATGTAAAGAAACTACAAGGAGAAGTGTCTGAGACACGCAAACTTATCCTGTTACACTATGAAGGTGTAGGGAAATATTGCAGGAGAAAGCAGTGGTAAAGCCTGAGGTCACTTCAAAAAGTATCATCAAACAGCCAGAGGCATCTGAGGCAATTTCTGCCCTCCGACCCTTTTAATTCAAGTAATATGGTGTATAAAACAGTAAAGGAAAAGAAATAAAAACTTGTTCTCTTTGCCGTTATGTAAGTGTGAATATGCAGTTACTGCTTTCTAGAGCAGATAAGCAACAACTTTTCACAGAAGAAAAAACACGTATTTGACCACATGAGGGTCTAAGAGCAGCCCCAGAGAATTCAGGTTAGGTAGGAGGCAAGCATGGAGATGT